ATGCAGTCGAGGTCGTTTTCGCCCACTGTGGAGGGGAAATTGCGGTCCTCAAAAAACGAGGGATGTCCGGGAGTGGAATGCCTCATCTCGGGGGCAGATGCAGTGGGGGCCGAGGAATTGGGAATCTGGGATGGCATTCTCGCAGGAAGGTGGGTGAGAGGAGGTGTATTCTAGGTAGCAGTGGGAATCGGTAGGCTTGAAATAGATAGCAGTTTCCAGGTGGTTGCCAGAGATGGAAACAGAGAGGTCAAGGAAGGAGAGAGAGGTATCGGAGATGGTCCAGGTGAACTTAAGATCGGGGCGGAAGGTGTTAGTAAAGTGGCTGAACTGTTCGAGCTCCTCGTGGGAGCACGAGGCGGCACTGATACAGTCATCGAAAAAGGAGGAAGAGGTGGGGGATGGGGCCAGTGTAGCTGTGGAAGAGGGACTGTTCCACGTATCCTACAAAGAAGCAGGCATAGCTTGGGCCCATGCGGGTACCCATGGCCACCCCCTTTGTCTATAGGAAGTGGGAGGAGTTGAAGGAGAAGTTGTTAAGGGTAAGGACAAGTTCGGCTAAGCGGATAAGGGTGTCGGTGGAGGGGGACTGGTTGGGCCTGCGGGAGAGGAAGAAGCAGAGGCCTTTTAGGCCATCTGCATGGGGAATGCAGGTATATAGGGACTGGACGTCCATGGTGAAGATGAGGTGTTGAGGACCAGGGAATCGGAAGTTTTGGAGGAGGTGGAGGGCGTGAGTGGTGTCACAGACGTAGGTGGGGAGTTCCTGGACCCGGGAGGAGAAAATGGAGTCGAGATAAGTGGAGACAAATTCGGTTTATGTTGTTTATGTTTATGTTTATGTTGTTCTTGCATTGCCCATGTTCTGTGCAGTGTAATCTGTATGCCTTACTCTGTCCAGATTTTTTTTCCACCCTATGATCTGTAGGTCCTTGCTTACTATGACTTGCCCATAATGCTTGCAAACAAAGCTTTTCACTGTACTTAGGTACACGTGACAATAAATCAAATCAACTCAAATCAATTGATCAATCGATTGATCAAGATCCCTTTGTAGTCTTAGATAACCTTCACTATCCACCCTACCACCAATTTTGGTGTCATCTACAAACTTACTAACTATGCCTCCTATATTCTCATATTCTCACTTTCAGTCTAATATGCAGTGAACAGAGGTCTACAGCAAAAAGAAACACAATCTAGAGAAACTTTGTCACAAGCCTGGTTATTTTGTTATTGATAGAACCAGAATTGAAACTGAAGACTTTAAGCTATGATTGGCCTGCACAATGCTCCAGGCCTCTGGTGATTACAAAAATGACATATTCCCTATCCACAAACATTTCTGTTGTTAAGAGGGTAAATGCAAATCCCTAGCTGCATAATGCACAGTAATTATATGCTGAGGTAACTATCATGACCTTTTAGAAAAATCACCTGTTATATAAAGTAAACCCACCACAATGTGAGATCATGTGAAATATAAATGTCAAGTGCATGGAGGTAATTTAAATTATTACTTTGAATATGAACATTGTAAGTATACCATGTACCTACATTTGCTGGGCAAAATAGGTCTGCTTAGAGCATTGCTATATTTTTACTTTAGTTGTGCAGCATCATGTCTTATAGCACGAGATAATTTATGGTTGTTCTTTCATCAAAAAACTATCATGTTGCAACACTTTTTATAAAGTTTGTAGGACTCAAATCAAGCAGAACATGTTAGTAAATTTGAGAACTAAAAGAAGTTATTAAATAATGATCAATTTCAAAACTAAATTCAAAATCAAATTGATTTGACATTTTTGGAGACTTCAGTTATAACTATTTAAACTGTTTCACTGCATTTAAATTTGCAATGAATTAACAACCATAATAACTGCAAATAAATGCTGCAACGCTTTTAATGCAATGAGCTCCCAGTACAATGTACTATTAGGAGATATAGAGGAATGATTAGGTGATAGAAATTCGCTCATTGTTTTAATTGTCATTAACCACTTTGTTAACACACTGTAGAATGTTATGAGATTTTAAGTGAAAGTCTGCTGGTAACAATAAAAGTCATTCCTAGCCCTCTTTGTTACTGTATAGGAAGAAAAGGAAATTACAGGAATATACAGTCTTGAATGTTCTTAAAGCTGAAATTATGCATAAGTAAATATCCAAACATTGTGTTGTGGATTGATAAGCGGTACAGACAAACATGAAACGGAAGCAGAAGGTAGATTAATAATATAATAAACTGTTAGAACAGCTTGCCATCACCTCCAGGGCTACAATGGATGGGAGATAAATGCTGGCCCAGCATGTAGTGCCCACGTCTGGTGAATGAATTAAAAAACTGACATTTTCATGCACACATATGGCAAAGTATGTAAAATATTGATGAAAAATGCTGCATTTTATTGCCTAAACAATTTCAGTTGGCAGATTTGTTTTACCCCATTTAAAAAAAAATCAATTGCTTGTGATGTGATTGTTTCACTGAAATCTTGAACAAAAATTTGGTTTGGAAAGTATTAATTCTGAACAGTACTATAAAACTATTCAGAAGGTTGGCTCATGTTCATAAGGTATGCTTCTAGATCCATAAACTGAAAAAAACAATAGTGACTTGTCTGAAAGAGATTAAAACAGTTGATTGCAAGCGACTTGTTTGCTCTACAAAAGTTACTGAATAAGCCACTAAATTTTCCAGTGAATGTTAAATTAAGGTAGATATTTACAGTTTGTGATTGTCTCTTTCAAAAAAGGATTTAACTACAGAATCTATGCTTTAGCATTTATTCTTAATTGCAGTATATAAAATAACATTATGATAGTGATGAAACCATTTGCTCAAGTTCATTCACATGACTACGTTTGTGTATTTAGAAACGTTCATTGAGATTTATAAAGTGGCCATTATAATATCTCTTTTTAACATGATCTATAGACTATTGCTCCATATAGTTGCAAATCACCTGATTATTTTTAAAGAAAAATAATCTAAAATTCCCAATTGGCTTCAATGCCTGTTTGTGGTAATTTGAAGGCTGTTATTTCCAATGAATGAAAAAAAAATTGAACAAAAAAGTCTGAAAAAAATTGCTTAAATTATTTAGTAGGTAAGAGTAGAAACATACTTGTTACTCATAACAGTTGATAATTTATTTCTTACTTTGTCTTCCTTTAAATTAAAAATAATAAGATATGACTAGGTAAGCCTTGAGTAGACTAGTTTGATATAATGGTGCTAAATGCCTAGCTCCTATTTCTGTTGTTTCAAGACCACAGATGCCTTGTGTCAAACTTCATGAGCCATCCTATAAAACTTAAATTCTTACTGTAGCTTCTTCCGTGTGCTTCTCTTTAGATCACTCATGCATAATGTCTGGCTGAGGTGATTAATGTAGGTGCCATAAATTGTGATAATTGTGACTATGTCAGAATCATGGGCATTCTTGCATCTATAAATTAACAAACTGATAATTAACAATGCTAAGTAGTTAAAATGCAAATATTTCTTGAAAAATATTGATCAATTTGGTCATATTTTTACGATATCAAGGATGTAATTGATATTACACTTGCAAATTAAATAGTAACCGCCATATTGTTTTCTTATATTGCAACTTAAATAAGCCAATACACAGCAGCAACATTGAGACCTCATTTGTTTCTTTTTCCAGAAGTGAGGCTGAGGTTCTTTGCATTAGTCAGATTTTGCAAGATGGACTTCATTGATTCTATTGAAATTTTCAAATATGAATGAATTCGTGAATGGTGGGGTGGATTGCAAACAAAGATGCTGTGTATCTCAGAAACAGACCAGAGGATCATGGCTTTAGTTCCTGCATAATCAACTCTTGATTCCAACCAAGTCCTGATGAAAACGATCAAATATTTTTCCATGCAGTTTAGAGATAGAATCAGCAGAAAAATATCTCCGCCCCGTATTTGTGAATCCATTTGCAAAATTGTCCTAAAAACGTATAAAGAGCTAAATCAGGGTTTCATGGTGGATGCTGTTCCTCTCTTTTAGGAAATATTATACAGTATGAAGAATGTGTAAAAAAGAACATATAAATTTGTAAAAATTTATAACTCAATTTTAAATGACAAATGTATTGTAATATTAATTAATTTTGGGAAATATTTAATAAGATGTAGAAGCTGTTTAATTTTGAAGTTTAGTATATTGAAACTTGATTTAAGCCTGATTGTAAAGTATTAATTATTACGTACTACTTTTTATAAGTAAATAATATGACCAGGTTCTGGGAGCATTAGACAGGTGAGCCCTAGATAGCAAGCTAATGCAAAATGATTAAGCTTCTCTAGCATCTTTTCAATCAGATCCCAGTCCCATGTAATCTGACACCACTGATGGTGTCAAATACAACATAGCTATTAATCCTATATAAGCTTTAAAATTGTGTCATGATGTTGCAGTGCCTAGATATGCATGTGATAAGGGTTGGAGTAAGCTTCTTGATGTTATTTAATAACCGGACACATACTGTTTTAACTGAGAGGAAAACCTTTTTAATATGTTATTCTAATAATCAAATACTAATATGAACACAAACTCAGGGCTTCAACAGAAGTTTTCTAAATAGAGGTGTACATTAAAGAAAATATCATTTTGCAATTAATCTCAAATTCTGTCAGCAGAATAACATTGAATGGAAAATATATTTATAATCCAGCAGTAACTAAATTGCATAAATATTAGTCCTCTCCCATAAGGGAAATAATTGGAAATGTTTTTGATCTACCTGATTGATAATTGCCAATTTAAAGCAAAAGCATGCAAAATGTAAAACTTTAAATCATTATTTGAAAATAGCACACAGACCAGATTTGTAGTTCAGCAAATACACCAAACTTATCTTGTCAACAGTGTCCACGATGACTGACTTTGTGGTTTGTGTCCAATGTCAAGCCTTAGATGTTTTTAAACTCATGTATTAATGTTTTGTCATTTATTTCATCATGGCATTCACTTTGTGCAGGCTATGGTAAGTGCTTTATATGTGGTGTAATCCAGGTGTGATGCAGATCAATTAGTGATGAATAAACAATGAACCAAATAACACTGAATGAAACAAGGTCGTGTAATGTGTGGTATGAAGCCCACAGGCAATATTAATTTATTAATTCCTTAGCTTACCATAGAAATTCAAATTTGCAGCTACTGGGTACCTTAAATTTTCAAGTTAATAAACAAATGATTTGAATGCTAAATTTCAGAAGCACAATTTTTGATGGCAGTCTTTTATCCAAACCCAATTGTAACAAAATGCTCAAAGCGTCATGTTTTACAGCTGAACAAAGAAAGATTTTTATAAGGTTATTCAAGGATTTAGTGGACTTTTATGATTTTTTTTCATTGTTAACATGATTTTATTTGTTCAATTGTTGGATATGGTGAGCAGGTGGCATGACTGCATGCTTACAAAAAATGACATATTTGGCATTGCCTATTAAGACTAGTACCACACTTTAGGTCTGTCTAGTTTGTGTTATTTCGGTTCAGGATTCATGCACTCCTACTTTGAATTAGATCTTTCTTTCCCATGGTTTTGCTTTGTGGAGAAACATTCAAACCAACTCGAGCAGAGACAGTAACATAGCTTCATCAATGACCATGCCATTTTAGAAGTCATTGCCAGCTATGCAGTTTTGCATTTAAATGTTACTTGAATTTGAATTGAATACTGGTAAAATAATAATCTTTATTGTGACCCCAAAATCAATATTCACTGTGATAGGCCAAATAATGTTTAACATTTTTCTCCTGGGGTTTGCCCAATACCAAATCCTCACTTCATCCAATGTTTAATCAACAATACTATTTGGCTTTTCTAAGCACGTTCTTTCTAAAAGCTGTAAATCTGGAAAATGCATGCACACTAATTGAAATATTACTAATGTTCAAGCCCAAAGTTTTGCAGGAAGGAATGAATCATTGTGACTGAAGCACAAGCTATAGTAACACAGGTGGCTATCTAATTAGTAAAAGAAGAGTTTTCTGACTTGAGGCATTCTTAAAGTGATGCTAGTTATTTGAGATTTGTCTTCTTTTGGTAACTATTCTTCTGATTTTTTTTTCAGTATTAATAAATAGAAATTAAGGAGATAGCTGAAGAGATAGTGGAAGCATTAGTGGTGATATTTCAGGAATCACTGGAGTCAGGGAGGGCCTTAGAGGACTGGAAAATCACTAATGTAACCTCCTGTTTAAGAAGGGAGTAAAGCAAAACACAGGAAATTACAGGCCAATTAGCCTGACCTCTGTCATTGGTAACATCTTGGAGTCCATTGTGAAGGATGAGATTACTGAATACTTGGAAGTACATGGTAAAATAGGGCAAAGTGAGCACAGCTTCATCAAGGGGAGGTCATGTCTGACAAATCTGTTAGAACTCTTTGAGGAATCAACGAGCAGGTTAGACCAAGGAAAGCCAATGGATGTTATCTACCCGGACTTCAAGAAGGCCTTTGACAAGGTGCCACACAGGAGGCTGCTGAGTAAGATAAGGGCCCATGGTGTTAGAGGCAAGGTACTAGCATGGATAGAAGACTGGCTGTCTGGCAGAAAACAGAGAGTGGGGTTAAAAGGATCTTTCTCAAGATGGCAGACGGTGACAAGTGGTGTTCTGCAAGCATCAGTGTTGGGACCACAACTTTTCATTTTATACATTAATGATCTAGGTGAAGGAGCTGAGGGCATTCTGACTAAGTTTATAGATGATACAAAGATAGGTAGAGGGACAGGTAGTATTGACGATGCGGGGAGGACGCAGAAGAATTTGGACAGGTTAGGAGATTGGGCAGAGAAGTGGCAGTTGGAGTATAACGTTGGAATGTGTGGGGACATGCACTTTAGTAAGAAGAATACAGGCATGGACTGTTTTCTGAATAGGGAGAGAATTCAGAAGTCTAAAGTGCAAAGAGACTTGTAAGTTCTAGTCCAGGATTCTCTCAAGGTAAACTTGCAGGTTGAATCAGCAGTAAGGAAGGCAAGTGCAACTTTGGCATTTATTTTGAGAGGACTTGAATATAAAAGTAGAGATGTACTATTGAGGCTTTTTAAGGCTCTGGTCAGGCCACATTTGGAGTGTTGTGCGCAATTTTGGGCCCCATATCTCAGGAAAGGTGTACTGGCCCTGGAGTGGATTTGGAGGAGGTTCATGAGAATGGTCCCAGGAATGAAAAGCTTAACATATGAGGAACGTCTGAGAACTCTGGGTGTATGCTCGACGGAGTTTAGAAGGATGAGGGGGGATCTAATTGAAAATTACAGAAAACTGAATGGCCTGGACAGAGTGGATGTTGGGAAGATTGGTAGGAGAGACTAGGACCTGAGGGCATAGCCTTAGAGTAAAGGGAAGACCTTTTACAACAGAGATGAGGAGAAACGTCTTCAGCCAGCGAGTGGTGAATCTATGGACTTCACTGCCACTGAAGGCTGTGGAGGCCAGGTCATTGAGTATATTTAAGACTATATATAGATAGGTTCTTGATTATCAAGGGGATCAAGGGTTATGGGGAGAAAGCGGGAGAATGGGGTTGAGAAACTTATCAGCCATGATTGAATGGCTTAATTTCTGCTCCTATGTCTTATGGTCTTAAATTTATCCTTATGTTGAATACATCATGCACAAAATTCTGATAACATCAAACCTTTGCCTTTAGTATTTCATCTAATATCTTGTAGATAGTCATCGTACTATAGGATATCTAGTCTCACTTTTTAAAATCAGCTGAAAGCAGTTTATTTTTGCATATTAATTATGAATGTGCAGTACTTGCATTGAATTATTTATGAACCAAAATTCTTACATAGGTTAAGGTTTTCTTTTTTGCTGGCCATAGGGTTCTATTATGGTTGTTGAATAAGTAATGTTACTTCCTTCTTGGGCACTGGTCTCCCTGCAATATTTTGCTGCATATGTCATCTAATAAAATAAAACACACTTTCGTGGGGAAAAAAGAGTTTGCTATGTCTTCTAATGTGTAGGTAATTTATGTCTTTCTTTATAGTCTTTGGTGCAATCCAGAAAAGCTGGCATTACTTCTGCACTTGCAACTCGTACTCTTAATGATGAAGAACTGGTAAGATGATTTTCTGTATGACTCTGTTACAAACATTAACTCTTTTAAAATATTTAATTTTTGAATTATCTGTTGAACTTCCCCATAATGTAAAAATAGTTACAGATCAGTTTATTTTTCTGGTGGAAAGGAAGGATCCACTTCTGAAAAGAAAGAAATAAGAATGTGACTAAACCCAAATTTATATTGGCAGAGCTATTAACTCCAAAACAGTTTGGTTTAATTTGAGAGGGAGATTAAAAAATTACAACTCTCAGATACCTCCTCCTACCTTCCACTGGGACCATGGCACATCAGGCCATTGAATCCAATATGGTAACTGATCTCATTTCATCCGGTGATCTCCCTCCCTCTTCTCCTTCCAAGCTAATAGTCCCCCAACCCCGCACAGCTCATTTCTACCTCCTGCCAAAAATCCATAAACAGCACTGTCCGGGCAGACCCATTGTTTCAGCCTGCTCCTGCCCCACAGAACTTATCTCTTCCTACCTTGACTCAGTCTTCTCCCCCCGATCCAAGCCATTCCCACGTGCGTCCGTGATTCCTCTGACGCCTTACCCCGGTTTCAAAACTTCCAGTTTACCAGTTCCAGCCACCTCCTCTTTACAATGGATGTGCAATCCCTTTACACGTACATTCCCCACCAGGAGGTTCTTAGGGCCCTCCGTTTCTTCCTGGAGCAAAGACCTGAACCATCCCCACCCACCACCACCCTCCTCCGCTTGGTTGAGCTTGTCCTCACCCTCAACAACTTCTCTTTCAACTCCTTTCATTTTCTTCAGGCAAGAGGGGTTGCCATGGGTACCCGCATGGACCCTAGTTATGTCTGTCTCTTCGTGGGGTATGTGGAACATTCCTTGTTCCAGTCCTATTCTGGCCCCCACCCACAACTCTTTCTCCAATACATATCATCGGTGCTGCTTCCCTCTCTCATCCGGAATTGGAAAACTTCATCAATTTTGCCTCCAATTTCCACCCTGCCCTCACTTTCACCTGGTCTATCTCTGACTCCTCCCTTCCCTTCCTCAACATTTCTGTTTCCATTTCTGGGGATAGACTGGCCACTAATATCCACTACAAACCCACAGATTCCCACAGCTACCTGACTATACATCCTCACTACCCCACGTCCTGTAAAGACTCCATCCCATTTTCTCAGTTCCTCCGTCTTTGTCGCATATGGTCAGATGAGGCCAACTTCGACAAGGGACCCTCCGAAATGTCCACCTTCTTCCTCAACCGAGGATTCCCCAGCTCCGTTGTCGACAAGGCCGTCAACCAGGTCCGACCCATCTCTCGTACTTCCGCCCTCACCCCTTCTCTTCCCTCCCGCAACAGTGATAGGGTTCCCCTTATCCTCAGCTACCATCCCACCAGCATCCATATCCAGAAGATCATCAGGCGCCATTTCTGCCACCTCCAGCAAGATGCCACCACCAGACACATATTCCTTTCCCCTCCCTTGTCCACCTTCCGCAGGGACCGTTCCCTCCGGGACACCCTGGTCCACACTTCCTTCACCCCCAACACCTCCCCACAGCCCTACGGCACCTTCCCCTGTAACCAGCGAAGGTGCAACACCTGCCCATTTACCTCCTCCGTCCCCGGTATCCAAGGACCCAAACATACCTTCCAGGTGAAGCAACACTTCACCTGCACTTCCTAGAATCTAGTCTACTGTATTTGCTGCTCACAATGTGGTCTCTACATTGGGGAAACAAAGTGTAGACTTGGCAGAACATCCTCATTCTGCTCACAAAAAAGACTCTGAACTACCCGTTGCCTGCCACTTTAACGCACCACCCTGCTCCCTGGCCAACATCTGTGTCTCTGGCTTGCTGCAGTGTTCCAGCGAAGCCCAATGCAAGCTGGAGGAACTACACCTCATTTTCCGAATAAAAACCGAAAGTACTGTGGATGCTGTAAATCAGGATCAAAAACAAAGTTGCTGGAAAAGCTCAGCAGGTCTGGCAGCATCTATGAAGGAGAAAACAGAGTTAACGTTTCGGGTCTGGTGACCCGTCCTCAGACACCTCATTTTCCGCTTGAAGATCCTACAGCCCTTTGGACTCAATATTGAGTTCAATAATTTTAGGGCTTAAACTCCCCCATGTCCCAGCCCCCTACCCCACACATCAGACCTTGTTACCACATAGCCTGCCATTACACCGGTTATTAGTCACTAACAGTCCCTATTAACAACTATTCACCCTCCCAGCCTGATCGTTAGCAACTCCTTTGTCTGTCCAACTGTCTTTCTCTCTCTGGGAAAAAAAATAAGTTCAGAGCAAGGGTCACTCGACCTGAAACGTTAACACTGCTTTTTCCTTCACAGATGCTGCCAGACCTGCTGAGCTTTTCCAGCAACTTTGTTTTTGTTCGTTAAAATATTACATCCTCATGACTTTGTTATCACTAGACTTGACTGTTCCAGCTTTAAACTTCCTTCTCCTGTGCCCATCCAAAAGACTGCTGCCTGTATTGTACTTACCAAATCTTGTTCACTCAGCTTCCCTCTCCTCACTGATCTATATTGACAGCTGGTCTAGCAAGGTACTAATTTCAAAGTTTACCTACTGTGTTTGTATTCCTCCATTGCTTTGACCCTCTTTATTTCTGTAAACCTTTCCCGTCTTACAATGCTCTGAGATCTCTGCAGTCTTTTAATCCTTGTGTATCCTCAATTTTAATTGCTGTAAAATTGGCTCTGCTTCAGCTGCCTGTGCTTTAAGCTTTAGAATTCCATCTGTCTCTCTGCTTTTCTCCTTTTAAGGTATAATGTAACTGATGCTTTAACTCTGATTTAGCCCTGAGAGAAAGGAATCCATTCCTTTTTTTAAAAAGGAACATTTGGTTGTGGTTATTTATTACACCACTTTAAGCTTTCACCATATATATATATACACCACTGAGTCGAACTCTTTTGAAGATTTTGAAGGTTTTTAAATTTCATTGACAATCTCAAGAAATATGGTAATTTTATACAATGGCGGTGATCTCCAGTCCCACAATATAAATATATTCAATTTTATATCACTGAAGTGTAAGCGCCTGACTGTTGTGAGATGCAAGTTGTGCTTCATTTGTTAGGAAGCTAATTTAGTAGGATCAGGTCACTCGCTGCAGTAGCTTAAAATCTGTTTGAACCTGATGTGAAGGACTAGCTACAGTGCAAAGGAGAAGAATTGGCAGGGATTTTTTTCTTAGAAAGCTATCTTTTTCTTTAACCTTATGCAATAGAGGAAAGGTGTTTGATCTAATCCTTCATACAGAAAAATAACATGTGGCTAATGAAAGATTTCCGTTTGTTAGAAAAACCATGTTTACAAGAAGACCTTGCAAGCCTTAATCTACCCTATTTCTTGCACAACACCACACAATTTTGAAGTGTGGACAGCAACTACTCCCACATATTGCTATGAATGCGAAGGCTTGTTGTGGGGAATTGCGCGCCAGGGAATGCGTTGCACTGAATGTGGGGTCAAATGTCATGAAAAGTGCCAAGATCTTCTCAATGCAGATTGCTTGCAGCGTAAGTCATATGCATGAATTTTCTTTTTGGTTTTGGAGCTTTTTAAATGTGTTGTTAAATGATTAATGTCCTATAGATATTTGATGTGACCATTTTAATTATTTCATCTACAGTACCATTTTTACAAGCATGTTCTTACTCCAAATACATTGAGTTTTAAACTGTTTATGGGGTACCCAGATCTTTCTAGGCAAAATCGTTGAACTGAAAAATATTCAAATCCAATGCAATGCAATGATAAGCAGAATGCAGCATTTCCTTAAATTGGATGACTGTTTTCTCCTCTCTAGAGGTAAAGCGCACAGCCCTTTTGGACAGTCTACTAAAAAAACAGAACTTCATGGCTAAAAAACAAATGATGATCACTGGACACAAACTGCAGTGCCATTGGATGAGAAAAATAGACCGTGCATTCAATTACTCTGACGTGCCACTCTAGTTGTTTTGTTTAAAGCTGAATGAGTGTTGTCTGCATGAACATTGGTGTATTTTTCAGCATGTTTAAACCTGGCACTTCAGAATGAACAATGTAAGTACGTTGGTGTTTAGGGTAACAAATCTATTTTACAAACCTAAACAGCTGAAAATACCACAAAGAAGATGTTAGTATTTGTTTTAATTGGATCATGAATTCAAAGACTCTGACTCTGTTTTGGTATACTACTCTGCTAAGTTACTAGCAAAATGTCTTTACTTTAATGTGGTATTCCTCTCCATTTATCACGTGTGTCATTGATATGTCCTCATAAATAAAGCCCACATTAATAAAAAGGTATCCAATCCTTGTTAAACATTAAGCTTGCACAAATTTTTAAAGGCATTTGAACCTATATATGTGTTTGACCTATATATGTTAGTGAACAGCTGTTCCAACATTCCACCATATTTAAAGGATTGTTAGGTTTCATCAATTAACACCACTGCTAACTTGATTTCAGGTGCTGCTGAAAAGAGTTCAAAACACGGAGCAGAAGATCGAACACAAAATATTATCATGGTTCTAAAAGATCGAATGAAAATCAGAGAAAGAAATAAGCCAGAAATCTTCGAGCTCATCCAGGAGGTATTTGGACTTCCAAAATCAGTGCACGCACAACAGATGAAGGCAATTAAACAAAGTGTACTGGATGGTACATCGAAGTGGTCAGCAAAAATCAACATCACGGGTAGGTGCTGTGAAATTTGTTAAAGAAAACGAAATGACCATGTTTATCCTTCTATGCGAATTATAGATGCAGATTGTGATTCTTTGTGTGATATTCTTTTCCTTTGGAGTTGGGAATTGAGGTTTAGGTCATTTCCAAATGTTGTTTTTCCGACTCCTGAAAATGAGCCAATTCACATGAAAATTTTGTGTTTCAGCGTCATAGGCAGGCTTGAATCATGGTGTCTGTTCCCTGAAGCAGGCCTGTGGCAGGAATATAGGCTGGCAGATTCTAAGGCCAGTATGTTAGATGGCCTGTGTTCATTTTCTGGCACATTGGTCCAGTTCTCTGTATAATTATTGGATCCCTAAACCTCCGTGACACATTTGTGTACCCTTAATAGCCCTTCCATTTCCCTATGTATCCTCTATTTATTCTCCATTTATCCTCCATGCACCTATGTATGCAGCATGCCCACTTATTTAATATCCACTATATACAAAATCCATGAAATGGTCAGCAAAATTAAAAAATACTCCATACAATAGTGTCTTTTGAAGTTGCTTGACCACATGTCCTACCATCTGCTCCTTTATTCAAATCCTTGGTAGAATTCAGTTGAAGATTGGTATTTGTTCAATCTTTTTTCAGAAGTTTAACAGAACTCTGGACTTAACAGCATCCTGTGATATTTACATTGGTTTAGAGATGCTCCATTTAAATTAGATTCTCAGTACTGTTGAATGCACATGTGTACTCTACCACTGGATGAAGTACTTGAAACATGTAAACACTTAAACAATGTTGGCTAATTTAATGGTCTCTAATCCTTTAAAGTCCTACAATCATGTATTGCATTGAATACTTAAATCATCATCCAAGTAATAGCTGTACACAAGTTTAATACTGAAGGTATTGGAATTTCAGTAAAAGTTCAGTGACCTCACTGGAGTTGTCAATGTAAAAATTATTATTATCTGCTCAAACTCCAGCCTCAATTCCATAAAGGTCATAGTTTACTGGTGTTTTTAAATCAAAAGATGGAATAAGAATTTATTTACACGATCCAAAATGTGAACACAATGAAACATTCACTCAATTGCACAAACACACACAAGGAGAGATGAGTTCTGGAGACAGTGCTTGCACTTTAGCTTAACAGAATAACAAGGAACAAATCTTTTGACTTCAAAATGAAAATATTGCATGCAAGAAGAGTTTCTCTCCTCGTTCAATGAAGATCACTAGGTTGGAAATTTCAGCGTTTTCATATGAAATTGTGGCTGATATTTCTGTGGACCAGAAATATAGTCTTGCTGATGAAAACAAATTAGTCCCTCATCTGAATTGACTGTTTATGCACAAATTCCAAAAGATCATCAACCGACTAGACTCCACATTGGATCAATCTCAATAGATTGTCCATATTCCAAGCTGCCTTCTTTTTTCTAGAAATATTTCCATACCTCTCATATTTTCATGGACATAAAATCAAAGATTGGCATCCCCCCATTATCTGTGTCCTGCTTGACATCCTTAAAAGTACAAAAAAACTAACATTCAAGTATTTCTGAAAAAAGACTATCAGTGTTCACTTGCCAACCAGTTGGCACACTTCTCTCATGTAGTATAAATGTTGGTGTTCCCCTTGAATTTCTATCCTTGCAAAATGTCCTGATGAGTGCAAGGCGAAAAGCTTTGAGAAAATGTGATTTTTTTTTCAGCAATACTCAAGTTCTGTGGTACCAAATAATATTTTGATAAAAGTAGTGGTTTTCATTCAATCCACTTTGAGATGTCAGTTTGCAATAGGAGTTGACTGGACATAGGTTTCTTGTTCTCTTCTCATCTGTCAATTTTAATTTCTCTTTGTCTTTGGTCTTCCTCCTTGTGTATCAAACCATCAAGAATCACCACTTATTAAGCTTCACTAACAAAATATCCTGTGTATGTTCAGAGACAGCCTTAGTTTTAATGGAGTTAGTGTGTGAACAGTGAACAATCCAAGTCAGTCTTGGATTGGCTTGGAGTGTCTGCTCAATTCCTGACTATTTGCTTTCCAAGTAATGGCCATCTTAGTGACATCAATTACTTCTGTGTTCATTTGCCTTCTTAAATACTTACAGCATCTTCATGTGAACGTTTTGTGTTTCATGCACAAGAATACCCAGATCCCTCTGTGTGCTGCACGTTTTTTGGAATCTCTCTCCATATCCATAGTAATCTGCCTACAACTTACCAAAGTGCATGGTCTCTCACTTGCCTACATTTAAACTCAATTTGAGAAGTTTTTCTCAAACAAAATTTTTGTCCACTCTCTCAACCTATCTGTATCCACTTGCAGATTCTTCATGTCCTCATTACATGTCCTTCCACCTAATTTTGTATCATCAGCAAATTTGGATACGTTATGCTCTTCCCCTTTTTCAAATCATTAATATAGATAGAAAATAATTGAGACATTAGGCTTGATCCTTTTGGCATTCCATTAGTTTTGTCTTTTCAACCTGAAGAAGATCCATTAATCCAGATTCTCTGACTTCTGTGTATTAATCAATTGTCAATCCATAATAATGTGTATCCCCAATTCAATTAGCTCCTATCTTGTGCAATTACCTTTTATGCGGCACCTTATTGAATGCCTTCTGAAAATCCCAATGCACTACAATTACTATTTGCCCTTAATCAACTTTGCTTTTATATCAAATTTGTGTTCCCCATTATCAATTCCCCAGTCACATCTCCTTTAAAAGCTTTTGCTATTTGTTTTTGTGTTTCTTGTCAATTTATTCTCATAACTTATTCTCATAATCAATTTTCTTCCTTTTAATAGCTTTTTATTCTTTCAATGTTGTTTTCTAAAAGCATTTCCCAATCCTATTCCCTACAAATAGTTTTTGCCACATTATATGTCTTGGTTTTTGATTAGATATTCTCCTTGACTGCCTTTGTTAGGCATAGGTGATTCATCCTTCTCGTAGAGTCCTTCATTTTGACTGGAATAAACTTTTGCTGAGTATTATGAAAAGAAACTGCTTAAGTGTCTGCTCCCCTTGGTCTATTTACTCAGCCTGTTTAGACCAATCTTTCTTCATGCCTCTGTGATTGCCCTTATTCAAGCTGAAGACACTGGTTTGAGACCCAAACGGCTCTAGCCATTGGAGGCTCCTCAACAATGAGATCACTGATTAATCCTACCTTATAACACATTACTCGATCTAAAAAAGCTTGTTCCTGAGTATTGTGGATAAGTTACTGCTCTAAGAAGCAATCACTGACACACTCTATAAATACTTCGTTCGTGTTACCCTTGCTAGTCTGATTATCTATTCAATGCGCAGATTAAAATTATCCAGGATAGTGCCCTTCTTACACACCACCTTCATTTCCTACTTTTATACTTTGTCCTACAGTAAGGCAAATCTTCAGGGACCTATAGATAGCTCCCACCCGTGACTTCTTTTTGTTGCTATACCCTATTTCCCCACAAACTGATTCCACATCACAATCTATTGCAAATGTCACTACTCACAATGCATTGATACCACACCTCAAAGCTATCTCACCTCTTCTTCCTTTCTGCTAATTTTTCTGGACTGTAAATACTCTTGAATCTTGAGTTCCCAGGTTTAGTCACCCTGCAACCATGTCTCTGTGATAGCTATCAACTCATGTTTGCTTGTTTCTATTTGTGTCATCAACTCCTCTCTATCTTTTTCCAAATACTGAATGCATTCAGATAAAGAGCCTTGAGATGTGATATTTTACCATTATTACTTACTTTAGTTCTAATTTCTGCTGCACTCTTCTACTTATGTTTTCTGCCACTCTCTGTTGCACTTTGATTGGTATTTGCCTCTCTACTACTCTGTGCCTTTGATCAGTATACGCTTTGCCACAACTCAGCATGTTTCAAATGAAACTTGCCCCAGTGGAACAGCCCTGCCTTTCCCCATGTTTGTTCCCATGAATTGGAACCCATTTCTCCCACTCCAAACTTATTTACTGTACAGTAATATGCACATGTCTGAGGTAGTATTCCTGAGATTATGACTTTTGTGGCTCTGCCTTCTAATTTACCTTTGAACTGCTCATGATCCTTCAGCAGAACCTTTTCCCTAGTCTTACCCATGTTTTTGTTATCTCCATGGACCATAACAACTGACCATTTCCCTCCCATTCAAAGTTCCTTTTCAGCCAGTATAGGTGACCTTACCCTTGGCACCAGATAGGCAACACAGCCTTTGGACTCTCATCGTTGTTGACAACAACATCTATTCCCTAGACTGTGCTGTCGTCTGTTATTATTGCATTTCTCTTATCAACCCCACAAGTGATACCCTCCTGTCCCTGACCACAGATCAAATCTGATGTAATTAATCTTCTGAAACAATGTCTGTAACCTGCCCCGTCCCAGATGTGTTGCCCAAAGCACAGACTCCAGTTCATCAACTGAGCCGAATTTCCTCACTTGCTGCACATAAGTCATTGTTGATTGCATTAACGTTCACCACCTCCCACAAACTACAGTTGCAACACATTGCTATCAGCCACTGCTATTCTATTTATTTAATTAATTTGGAAATTTAAATGTTTTAAAAGTGAATTTCCTAACTATACTCCTTAACTGTAATAACGTCACCCTTCTCCACTCAAAAGAGAAATGGAAGAAATGCAATAAATACCAACCAATCATCTACTCAATTTTTCATTTTTTGCTGGACAAATAAAATTGTAAAACATATTTCCACAAGCTTAGTTTTCCTGGTAAGGCAACAAATTCAAGATTTCACTTCATCGTATGTGACTATTTGAGTAACGCAAGAACTTCAGACCCAGGATGAATATTGTTATCATATTTGTTACTGGACATTATTTATTTATTTAGCAAATGCATATCCCTGAAGTCAATCCAATTACCACCTTATTTGCTGAGTTTAAGGTGATTAGCCCGTCACCTAGTCTGTAGAGAGAACACTCCTTATTAATGTGCAGCATTGCTTTTGTTTCTCCATAAGTGC